AGAATAATAAATCCGCCGTGATACGAAAAATATTTTTAGTTCCAGTAGGAAGCAGTAGTATCTGAATATAATATTTAATTTTAGTTTCTACTTATTAAATAATCACTATCAGCTAAAAACGATTCGCGTCTCATTGCTGAAAAATTTAATAGAATGATTATTATTATGACGTAGGTCCTACGCGACTTATTATAGTATTTTATTTCAACTTTACATTATCTTACATTAATATATTTGTGCTTAGTTTAAGTCTTTTACAGACAGATATGAATGAAAGTGATGATATATTATATAATTATGATATGCACGTATTTATTTAAAAAAAAAGTATTTTTAGTACCGCTATCAGTTGTTTGATGCTCTTAGTACTTTTCTTAGTTAGAGACAAGATGACACTGCAGGTCCATGATTACACATGTAGAAAAAAATCTAATTAACCGACAAAAACTTTAATACCGCCCTATTTATATCAGGTGTTAAAAAGCTCTATAGAGAACAGTGATGTATATAATGGAATAATATGTAATAAAAATAAAACTAAGTGTTATTGTCTTCCAAAACAGTTTACAGTTTTTCGTTCAAAGATTCTTGTACTAATAATAAACATTTATTGCGACTTATGTCTAATAGAGACTGGCTCGGAATGTTCTCGTATAAAAATTATGGTACCATTAAAATGCATTCACGTCGTATAACTTCAAACAGTTTGAATAAAATAATCCTCGCTAATATAAGGCTCAGGGTTCGCCGTTTATCGTCGATTTTGTTTTTACCAAAAAGCATGTTTCGCTGCTTTGCACCGGCTACTGCCGTTTTTTATCCCCAAAAGAAAAGTAGAGACGTTATTATTTGCGTTTCCCGTTCTATATGTCAGTTCGTGACATTGCGATTTTCAAATAGAGCTATTTAAATTTGACTTTTTTTCTTCGAGTTTTAATTATTCAGGTTTGTTCTTAGTTACGTTTTTCATGAAAATGTATTTAAATCTCTAAAACTTTTCCCTGAATTGAATACCACGGAATATTAATAATAATATTTTGCAATAAAATATAAATAAATTACTACTAAATACTAAACTGACTGAGAACCTCGTACTTTTTTAAATAGATTGGATACAATGTACTTACATAAATCAAAATCTAATATATATTATTTAAATTATTATAAATTATTTAACTATTAATTTGACATTCATATCGTAACTAGCCATTAAATCCGACTTCGTCTGCATAAAATTCATTTCCCCAACTTATCCCTTCCAAAATATTTATTATGATAAAAGATAGCCTATAGTATGCAGTATACATATATTCTTTATTATACAGTGCCGTCATCATACCAAATTTCATTTAAATCCTTTCAACCAGATACACAGATATTCGCAAGTTTCATTTTTCTTTTATGTCCGTATAAAAACAATTGCTAGTGTTATTAAGTCTCTAAAAATAACATTCGATATTATCCAAGACATTCTATCACTGAAAACATTTTTATTCTTCGTCATTACATTATATTTTTTGTTCTCATAATTCCTTTATGGCATTGTATATTGGTATTATATTTTTTCTTTGTTGGGTTATATTGAGCTTAGCTTTCAAGCTCTTTTGCATCCACTTTGATCTTCTCTTAATCTTAAAACTGCTTTCAACATGAAGCTAGCTAATTAACATTATTGTACTAATAAACTTGTTTATAAATTCATAAAATAATTGCTATTAACTCTATATATTTGGTGTCGGTATTATATTCATAAAAACTGATCACTCAATATACATATATTCTTTGTATAAAACGATTAAATCATGAGATGTTTTTTAAATATTAAGTGGCCTATATTTTCGTAATGCATAATACTTCAAACATATTGAAAATAATATTACTTCAACAGATAAAAGGTAGTATTTAAATGTGTACTTCGTAAGATGCGAAATACTGCATTATTCGGGTAACAGACGTGCCTTGCAATTTGGTGATACAAGGTTGCATACGATAGATTCCCAACGGCGTCTGGTCTAGCAATACTGATTTCCGAATCACACACCTGTCCTATTCCCCAGCAACCAATGTTACATTCCATATTCAAACTCCATTTCGCCTCGAAACGGTACAGGTTTTTTATTCCAGTTTCACATTATTGCTAATTTGGCAATCCAAAAAGTATACATATTTAATTTATAATATCACTGTTTTTAAAAGACTATTAATATCTATACCAATCGACTGATGACTGTTATTCTTGTAAAAAGTCAGACATAAAATATATACTTTTTAAATAACTACGTTTTCTTGATAGTTAAATAGTTATTTCTAAAATTTATATATAAAACAAGACGGGTTAATAAAATTATGTAGTTTTTAAATATTTCTATTCTTTTACGTCCTATTTCTATTTATAAAACATACACAGATAACTAAAATAAAGTGGTTTTAACATTTTAAGGTAGGTACTTTCTTTCTCCTCCATTCCCCCTTACATAGGAAGTATTGACGTCTGAGGTCGTTCGTAGAAAATTTCGAATCGAACGTCACCATCGCAAATAGGTGTACACTCTGAAAAGTCTTCCATTCCTAGACTCACTTCCGATTAAATTTTATATACTTGTCTAGTACACGTATTTAGGATGATAAATACCATATTGCAATATAACTCTAACTTTAAATTACTATTTTTAATAACTCTCTACATGATGAAGATCTATGAAATCAATTAGTAGTATTTTCGACCTGAAACGACATTATTTTTTTAAGAAAAGGGCATTATTTCATAAGGACCTGCAATACTCACAATTTCAAAAGGTGTTACAGAATGGGTGAGAATAACTTACCATTATATATTCTACATGATTATTTGTAGTACATTATGAAAACCCTAGATTAGAAGTAGATCTTACATCAATATAAATACATATAACTCAAAGGTGACTGACGTAGTGATCTATCAACGCACAGCCCAAACCACTGGACGGATCGGGCTTAAATTTGGCATGCAGGTAGATGTTATGACGTAGATATCCGCTAAGAAAGGATTTTTATTAATTCTACCCCCAAAGGGATAAAATAGGGGATGAAAGTTTATATGAAACTTTGTCAATTTTAAACCGATCGGGCTGAGACTTTGCATGCATAAAGCTACTATGACGTAGGCATCCCCTAAGAAACGATTTTGTTAAATTCCACCCCTAAGGGGATAAATTAACGCGAGCCAAACCGCGGGCAAAAGCTAGTCATTCTATATTATCTCTACTACCGGAGTAAAATATGGTCCACATATTTATTTATTAAAACTGTAATTCAAACAAACAGAGAATTAACTAGGCGTTGTATATTTGTTCACCTAATTTGCACGAACAAAGCCATAGAATATATTATACATGAGACTTTAGATTGTGAACTCCGTGAATTTATAGTCTGTGTCGCTAGATTTTAAACTGTCGATAAATTGTGAACTGTTCTAAAATGCTTATAATATAAAGTATTATAATAAGACAGAATAATAGATTAGATTAGGATAGATTAGGCACTGAAATTACAGAATAATAAGCATGACATGTTAGTCCTCTGACATGACATGAGTATCACAGATATCACAGATGTCACATTATAACATGATGTCTGTAGTGCTGTTCATGTGTATAGGCGACGATTACCACATACCATCAGATGAGCCAACGGCTTGTTTGCCAGTCTAATTACACAAAATCACTATTTTATCATTTATCAATGTCAAACTACACCAAAAAATATTTATATTTTAAGCAATACATATAGTACAGTTAACAATTTATTGACAGTTTATAGTCTCGTGATGACATGCACCTAATAAAACATTATAACCACAATAATTATTATTTAGTACTTAATATTTACATCACGTCGCGTTTGCAATTTGTTGTTGGTAATTTGGAATACAGAAGTCTGTTCTTATAAAAGTATACAGGGGTTCAGTGCGTGACTCGGCCCCACATCGTCTGCAGACACTAAACAGTAAAACAGGAGCACGCAATAAGGAAACGTGCCTGTCCTAAAATCTTAAATAATAAAATAAGCTAAGATATTACATCGTATTGCACAGCACGGACCATAAAATGGAATAACACTGGACTAATGTGTTTTAAAGTCGTTTTCAACATACTGGTAAAAGGAGATTTATTTTGATGGCCCAGGTTGTCTAGCTATTTAGCTCACCGCCTTATAATGGAAACACATTTACTGAATATGATTTCACGTATGGGTCAGAGTGTAGTCTACGTATATTGTGTATTTACAAATAAAATATATTTATGTATTTGTATCAGTTGTCTAGTTTCCATAACACAAGCTCCTCTTAGCTTGAGACTAGATGTTGTGACATGTCCTGGGTGGTTATAATTATTTTTCAAATATACGTTAACTACGTATTAATTCTATATTTCATGATCAATAAAAAACTAACCTTTAGTTTTAATTACTTTAAAAAAAAAGACAATTGAAAAATACAATGAATAAAAATTAATATTGTTAATAAACTTCAGAAAAAACCTACTAGTTGTAATTATTTTATTTTTCAACTTGATGGATATTTCTAGAGATCTGGAAGGTCTTAAACCACTGTTTTTGTAATTGATAGAGTTTACGTACTTGTATGTGTTTGTCCATAAAAATGTAATACGATTGGTAGTCGAATTTCTTTTTATAGAACTAATTCTACTTATTTACGTTATAGAAGCGAAAATTCCATATACAAAGCCCATTGTCTCTCATTTCTTAGAAAAAAACTTAATTGAATATTTTTATACTATCGATCTTCGGCAATATTGAAGCAATTTTTAAATTTGATAATTCCTAAATTGTCATATATAGATTCATATTTGTCGAGTAATATATACACGTAAAGTAAAAATCAAACTGAGATCCTTGTTTTTTTTTTTGGATGCCTACTAAAATACAATATAATATTTATCAAAATAATTAAATACTTTAAACTCTATATGCAAACTTATTTGGTATCTCTATCTTTGCAGATCACGTTCGGGAATTCTCCTGTGGCACTCTCTACTACAGAACCTTCTTCGTTGACTCCAAACGAGATGCACTCTACGTTGGCGCTATGTAAGTCACTTCTGTCTGTATTTATTCCTAACTTCTGCTAAAACTAAAAAACTAGTTAGTTAATTTTTGAAAAGCTCGTTGTTGTTATTATAATTACGATTAGGTAATTAAATCACAAATCATAAACAAAAGCATAAAAAATATTTAATCCTTTTGACCCGTTCTTTATTATAAAAAGTATTCAGTATTATACTATAAAGAATATTTCATGCATCAAATTCATGTCAACACTGCCATACAATATGATGCATCAAAATATCAGGGCACTTTTTTATTAATATGTTTATTAGTCAATAAAATTATTTTTTAAATATATTATTAACGAATTTCGTCTTCTTTCTTCCTCGCCCAAATAATGCAATAACACACAGATACAGAACTTTATACTACTTATTTGTAATTAATTATTTTCTTAATGTTTATTAATATTGCCAAGTACACAGAACTCAAAATTGTTTAGTTATGTTACAAATAACAATTAGTTTATATTCTATACAAATTAATTTCATGGAAAAATATTATATCTTTTATTTTTCAATTTAATTTTGTTTTTGTTTCAGGGACCGATTATATCGGTTAAATATGAACAATATCAGCTCGTCACATTGTGAAGTGAGTAAATATTTTAGAAATGCTCTTTTTCTTGAATATACTATTTAATAACAGTTACTAGTGTCCTAATGCTGTACTACTTAAACGGAAAGATCAAGGTCTGATCTGATCGTCTGATCGACCGAATTTATATTTCTGCTTGTCTTTCCGATATTTCTACTTTGGTATTTCTATACTAACTACGGACCAATTTAATCCCAAAAACGTTGATAGTTTTGCCTACTACCCCATTGGATTTATATATACCTCGCTAAATAAAGCCATGTTGCTGTTCACGACGACGTCTACAGTTGACAGTTTATATAACTGTGGGATAACAGTCGTGGAAACACATTATATTTATTATGATATTTCAAAGTATATAGAACAGTTTGAATAAAATTAAATTTCTTTAAATAACGGTCAAGTAATTTATTTATTAAACCATTTTTGTTCACAGAGAGATTCAATAAACCTGGAACCAAGTAACGTAGCCCAATGTGTATCAAAAGGAAAGTCAGAGGTTTGTACATGTTTATTATTTTTAATTATCGAATCACACTATACTTAACTTTAATACAAACAATCATAAAAAAGCGAAGGAAAAATACTCTGGGCAATATAAATACAGGACGTAATATCTATGATAATAGCCATAATATATTCCTAAGGCTTATATTTGAAAAACGGATTAGATAATTATATACTTTATTGTAGCAAAAATCACTATCGACATCCAATAACTTTTGATCCTAAAATGTATAGTGAAAAAAAAGTTTATTCAAAATAATAATTGAAGAAATTACCTACTACCTCTTTATTATTTATTTAGACTAGACCAACTAAGATATAACTAATTCGATACAAAGTTCCGTGCTTGTTACATGTTCTATAAAATTATTATTTTATATAATATGAAGTTTAATTAGACGCCGTTTATTTTCCGCGGAATTACTCACAACTAGCACTATTTCCATCAAGGGTTAATCCCATTTTTAACAGTAAGCGACGGGCGGCGGGCATATTTCATGGCGGGAAGCTTAGAGCCGCGCTCTGCTCGCTATATTAAAGCCGTTAATTTTGATTTACAATCGCAACGTAAAAGCAATATTTGTTTTATTTCTCGGCCGCCCTCTCGTCGGGATCGGGGAACGATTACAGCGGTGTTCGCGATCGACCAATTGGATAATGCCTTTCTGCGACGCTCTGAGTGATTCTTGACTCCTCAAACTCGATTACGGTTGATTTTAATTTATTTTTATATATTGAATTTTTGTTAACCGATTTTAGAAAGAATTTCCAATTTCAGCCTTGTTTTATACGTTATGCCATATATGTACGATATGTGGATAATTGTTGTTTTTATCAAAATCCTTTATTCGTTTATTATTCCTACGAATTCGAAGATAGTGATGTAGATTTTTTGTGGAACAAAATCTTTGAATATTTATTTTTATGCATTCAATATAATGTGATATATACAGTTATAAAATGTATAGCATGTACTTAATACTTTCGAATGTGAATAAATATCGTTTATTTTATTCTTTTTTACTAACAGTAATATTTTAATTGAATTGTATGTTCAAACAGTAGCATAGATTGTTAAACTATCTAAAATTATCACTATTGCAAGGAATCGTATAAGGTGAATATTACATAGAAATGGCATTTCTATTTATATAGAAATGTCTTAGTAATAATATTTCACACCAAACTTACTACAGGGACCCAAACAAAAAATTCTAAAAGTTAATATAAATCGGTAGTACGCCGTAGACAGTGGTATGTGCACGCAAATAAAAGGTCAAACTTCCGCCATAGAGCGGAAAAAGTAATAGACAACATGCTACCCACTCCAACTCTTCCGAAAAAAGTAAATTTGTTTTATTAGTATCAAAGAGGGTCATAAAAAAGAAATATCCCCGAGTCTATCACCTCGATCGTGGAAGAAACGGCCACTCGTGAAGGCTATAATCAAAGTTTCCCGCTGTCGGCGAGTTTTCCTTTCTCTAAACACGATGTCGTAACACGAAAAAGGCTGGAAAAATGCCGTCGGCAAAATTCTGTTAAGGCGTCCACCGGCCCGTCGCGTCGCGGCGTAGCGGCGCGGCGCGGCGCGGTGGCGTAGCGACTTGTTAAAGTTTCATGATCTTTGTTACCGCATACTACAATAACGTTCTATAAATGTATGACTGTACCTGTATACGATTTATGCATATTATTATAATCATTGATGTATTAGATATATATTCATTTATTTATTTATTAGCGAAGCCTACGATTTCCTACCAATATTTATGACTTAAAAACAATAGTTTGTAAACTGATTACAATGATACAGACACAAAATTTTAAGTGAATGTTACCTATACTGTACAAATACTATAAAATTAAATATAACTCTTTATTTTGATCAAATCTGAATATGAAAAAATCAGTCAAGCCGTTTCTGAGATAAGCGCGCACAAACCTATAGGCAAACAGAAAAAATCAGTTACATTTTTATTGTATCATACTTCATGTATCCATAGATAATTTGAGCACATCATATTTCAATAAAATTCGTCTAAATTAATTATTAATTGTCCTTTTGCTATCATATCAGCACGAATATTCAATTCATTGATATAAAATAGCGAAAGAAAACAAATTATACATATAATGATGTCACTATATATAACACTACATCTTATTATATTATTGGAATGGCTAACCAGCTGACGACATGAATTGCCATTCTGGACGACTTAAGATGTTATACCTCTTATTCCTTTAATAACTCTGACCTTCAACCGAAACACAGCTTACAACGTACATTGGTAAATGAACTTTATAAAATAAAAAAATAATTATTACAATCGTATTAATACAATAAATAAAATTAATTAATTAATCGTGAGAGCATTACTTCTCTACCTATAACTAATATGTGTAGTGACGTTATTCTCTCCTAGGTCAATATTGGTTTGAATTAAAATACATTTGCTTATAACCATCATACCTACAATTCATAGTAGGTAGGTATGCCTATTACGTAATCATGTTATAAAACGTATACTCCACGTAATTACATTAATGTCACAAAATTACACCTGCAATGTTGGCTGACAGCCCACGCAATCTTATAATTCCATAAAATTAAAATATTTACATAGTACACATGAAAACATATTATCTTTAAATTGTGCCTAAAGTACGCATAAATATATGTACGATATGAATAATGAAAAATTTACGTACTGCCCAATCAAAGGGCTTACAAGTTACAATGATAAATTTTCTAAGTGTAAGAAATTGAAAATATATTTTATTACTACCAGGACCGCAAAATAATTATGCATAAAAATATCTGAAATCTATCTACATTTCTGTATTTATTAATTAATTTTGTGGAGTATGCATTGAAAGTGCAAGTACATTAAAAGATTTAGAAATCTTTTATTCTATTATTGATTATTTTAGTGGTACTTTACATCTGTACCATTATTGTGAATACAAACGGTCTAGTAAAATAAACGTGCACTACCAATGCAAATCAATGGTCTTAAATTCTTTATAAAAGCCATTACAGAAAAATAGCCCCTTAAGGAAAAAAACCTTTTGTAAGGAAACGCGAGAAAAGCCGGCCGTAAATCTACTTACGTACAAAGTGGCGAATAATTAACGGAATGGACGGATCGAAGGCATTAGTTTAGGGCAGTGTTGTCCACTGCCGATTTCTGTGGGACGTCCCATATATTTAAATATAATTTGGTAGCAAGTCTGAAATAATCATAATTAACTTATATAGATAAATAGTTATAAGGTATTGTCACTTAATATATGTATATGTTAACAGATTATAACCACGACGATTCTATTCTATCCTGTCGATATTCATTATTATATTGAAATAGTATATGGTCCATGAAGTTAGATTTTTCTACATACTATAAATTTTACTGATGTTCAGTTTTATTACTACAAATATCAATTGTAGTATTTATAAGATACACTAGTAATTTTCTATGTAAGTTCACATCAAATATTTATTAGTATTTTAATGAAAATAGTTAAGTTTTATTATACTATATTTTCTACATAACTTTACATATAATTGTACTACGTACAAACTTTTAAGTAATATTTTTTTCGAGGGATTTCCCCTGTAATTACTACACTGGCGAAGCAGATTGGAATAGAGTTATATTTTAAGATTTCTTTCTATTGTACTTTTCACCGATGTACCTATGATTTATGTATTTAATAATGTCAAATTTAGACGATCTCAATTTATTTGTTTTATTTTTTTCTGATAAAGTATGCCCTTCTTAAATAGACGTCGGACGTCCTTCAATGATCGTAACACCTGGAATCACTATTCGGGAGTGAAGTTATGCGAGCTCCCCGGCTAACTGCCGTTAAAAGAAACTTAGACGTACGCCTGATTGTTCTCCTTAATTCTGATTGTTTCGCACAAAACTGTTTTCTGTTCACGTCAGTACAACGTTTGAATGTTCAGAGTGTATTAATCCGATAATTACTTTAGAACAATCTCGTGCAAAGTTACCTCCGGCTCAAAGAAAGTATACTTGCGCAACTTTTTGTGTAGCAAAACACTTCACTAATTGTTTACTTACGGGAAGCTATTTTCACAAAATTAGTAGCTATGCCTTGGATAATCTAAAATATTAATCGCGTAATAATTGTAATTATTGTATTATAAACTTAAGCTTAAGTAGCTTTTTTTATAAATTAATTATAAAACCTACATATGATGTAGATGTCAGGTTTTATAATTAAATTGTAAAGCTACTTAAGCTTAAGTTTATAATAAAGTTACTATACAATACTATATTTAAAGTCTCACATTTTTGAGTAGTACATATAACTTTGTCTGTGTACGTGCACGTTCTTTCTATGTATTGTAGGCATGATTTCAATAAATTAGTTACATATGGATAAAACAGACACTGCATTATATTTATTGACATTTAATAAATTACTTTTATATTCGCACATTTCCAGTCCATGTTTTGTGCATATTGAGAACAAGTTATAAATCTCCCTGATCAATTCTAGAAATTGTAAGAATGACTTTATACCTATTTCTTAATCGTCCTTTAATTATCTGTACGGTACAGCTATGGCCTATGGATATTTGTATCAATTTAAAAAAATAACAGATGTATTAATATCGTACGTGATATGTCTATGTACCCAATTCTAGTATATTAGTCACTATTATATATGGTATTATATCATATATAAAATATAATAAAAAAATAATATTTATATTGTATTTTGTATTCAGCTATGGTGTGACTATGCAGATTTTTATTTCATACCAATAAATCTGCGCCCTCTGTCGATATTTTAGTATCGGTCGTGGCCATCTGACAGTGCCCCCAGTATTCCCGTCCGCAGTGACATGAAGAAAATTAGTTTCCATTTACGGGCCGACCACAGACACCAAGAACAATCTCCTTTTGAAACGACAACATGCTCGCTTTTCGCGTCCCAAATATATCTGAGGTCGGATGGTCTCATTATTCACCGTGTACGTAGTTAGTGGCCGTAACATTATTACCGCTCGTCTCTGAACAATGGTTTAGTTTAGATTGATCTCGGAGAGCTGTTGGTGGAATAGTTTAGAATATTGTTACATAATAGAAAGCCGAGTTCAACAGGAACAAAATTAGCATGAGACGTAACAATATAATTTTAACACTGACTTACTAGGGTAAATCTATTTCATCTATAATATAAGGTAGATATACAAGATCACTATTTTTATGTCTGTTTCTCTGGTTTCATCCAAATCACCCAACGAATTTTGATTTTGTTTTTACTATCAATGAGAGAAGAACGTTCCTGGTTTTAATAATATGGAAGAGTTTCTTTTATAAAATATACATATTAGATTAATTTATTTAGACGACGATTTATTTTATACGGGAGTAAACCATATAGTTACAGTATTAGAAAATGAGTAATAGGCATAAATAAGTATCAAACATTACACGTAAGAGTAAAATAAAGTTGAATAAACAATTATTTATTAAATTGTGTCAAAATGTATGAAGCGACTAAAAATTCTATAATTTTCGTATTTTCGTAGACTAACTCTCAGTAATCCAGTTAAGTAGGTAGTTTTATCGTATGTGTATATAGTATCTGATGCATTATTTCTGTCGTTCGGAATATTAATGTGCCGTTTAATATTTATGTTGGACGCAAATTTGCATAATCACGGCCTGTGAACAACCATACACATCCATGTACAGTTCGGCTATTATTTCAGCGAATTTCGCCCGAGGTACTCGCTAAATAAATGCACATCCATCGCGACGTTATGGTTTCATTCGTTTTTATTTTATTCCTTTAGTTTCATTGTTAATAGTTAAAAACTGTATTTTTGATAAATTCAGTGGTTGTGATGTATTGTGTGTTCAATATTGTTTATATAAATATTTAAAAAAAAAAAAAAAAATTTATATACTTCTGTTGTCATCGTAAATGATTAAGTAATAAATCGAATAAAAAGCTACAAAATCTTTATTAGAATCATTAGAATTAGATTTTATAACAAATTATAAATAACAATAAACTGAATTACTTTTCCAAAGAAGCAAAGTGGGAAATTAGAAATAATTTTTAAAACTTTCATACAAACTGCATAGTCAATTTAGTATGAAAAGTTTCGAACGTTCACAATTCATTTTCAGATATTCACTATGTCTCTTAATTTCTTGATTCATTTTCGTGACTATTCTTTTGGCGTTGCTACTAACTACTAACTACTACTCATGACAAACCCTTCATAATATAAAATAAAGACTTTTTTTTGCTAATTATGATAATTTTAATTAACACAATATAAATGAATAAGATTATAATGATTTAGACTATGAGAACTATATTTTATAGTAGAGACATAGAATATCACAATAACCATCAGTCGCGAGTTAAGTATAAGTACCTATCTGACTAATAGGACTCGGCTCCGTAACTAGGTAAATAAATCAAGTAAACGTAGTCCACCGTACCGGTTTAAGCCTCACCTATTAATTTTATCTCTTGCATAGTTTTACTTTACTTCATTTTACAATTATATTTCCTACCACAAGAATCTATTATGTAACCGTTGTCAATTAAAATAATATAATGAATATAGCATTTACTATATAACCACACTATACAGGTTATAGTTAGCTAGCAATGAGTTACTATATAGATTGCACTCATTTCATTACAGAAGTAGTTTAAACAATGACACTTAATTAAAGGATATAATATGATGTAGCAGTTTAGTAATTTACTTACTACGATAGGGAGGTTGATTACTGCACGATACAAAAATTTTTATTCCTAAGTATGATTGTTTGTTTGGTTTAGGTATTTTCTTTATACATTATGTATGTATTTAAAAAACGTGTAATATTTAACTATTTGTACCGGTTATCTAGTATCCATGATTTCTTTTTAGAATAATAATAACAAGTAAAATATACAAAAAAGGTTATAAAGAGTTTATATCTCGTTTACGTATCTAGTGTAAATTGAATTGTTAAAAAAAATTGCAACATATCTTTATAAAAACACTACTGTAAATCGAAACGAATATTCACAATAACAATAAAGATTTTTGTTGATTTATGGATACAATATCTAGAGAATAAAAGGTATATTTATTCACATTTCCAATACAAGCTGCTTGTTTACAGCACTTCGACTGCCGCAACCATATTCGAGTGATCCAGCCAATGGGTGACGGCGGGCGGCTGTATGTATGTGGCACTAACGCTCACAGCCCTAAGGACTGGGTGCTATATGTGAGTATTTTACCCAATATTTTTTAATTAATTATTATATTATAAGTCATATTTTCTTTAGAATATAATGAGTACGGAGGCATGGCACCTCAGCTATGAAGAATGTCAACCTGTGCTAAGAGCGTCAACTAATGACTGAATGAATGGAATAGGCGAGGCAGAGGTAGTTTTACTACCTCTGCCTCGCCTATTCCAGCCACAAAGCAGCTTGCTTTGCTTTGAAAATTACACAGTAAGGAGGCATGATACTATAATTCTCCGGTTAATCATGGTAAATACCAGGAATTACATCATGACGTGATGATGAACATAGTGTAGTTCATGTATTTAGACCAACGTCAGCATTTGCTATTCCCATAAGATAAAAAAAATATTCACACTATACACTGTACTTTTTTCCTCTTCTCAGTTCGTATATCAACAATAATGCTACAATTCTCTTGGAATATCACTGTGTAGCATGTGCCACGAGATACTAGCTATTATCTAAAGACCCTCTGAAATGATCCGACGGCTTGGACACACGCCAGGCGCAACAGATCTCAACAGGTCCCACATTTGTGCTGTAAACAGAACTAAACATACATTAAAGCTTTTATTGTGTCTGCGACTTAAAACCCTTTTCAGCTTGAGTACCTACTCTTTGCAAGGGGCAATATGAATAAATATCATAGTGATATTTATAACTGCAATGAACTCTAGACACAAAATATTTATTGTATTGAAAATTATTAAACAGATTTGCGTAGTTGGCAATAATTAAAGAATTAGAAGTCGTCATATCGCTGGAGACACGTAAAATAATCATGACTTATGTAATCATCATCGGTGTATGTTCATCAAAAGTGCCTTAAAATATCTTGCCATCTTCGAAGATCGCACTCACAAAATTAGTAATAATACCTCAATTGTAGATAAATATTTCAATCCATTAATTGTTGATACAACAATAACCCCAAAAATTCTAACTCCTTATTGTCTTAGATATACCGAGATATATGACATATGTTGTATCCTACAGGTACTTAAGCATTTTGTTCCATAACATTTATTTTTAAAAATAAATACTATTTAAACGAACTCACATACGTGGAAAAATCAAAATATTGCAACACGTATCACATTTAAGCAGTTGCGAGCTCAGGATTCCATTGCACAAGCCACTGACTGCAACTAGATGCATCAGCAACAATAAGAACCGCGACAAATTTCACGGGTACTGATTCCGCATGGTGCTGTGAGAAGAGCGAAGATTTTTCCTACGGCGTTGGAAAATTTCTGACTGAACGATTTCGTTGCAGCCTGCATCAGTCACAGATTTTAATGCAAACATGTCGCACTCGGCGCGCACGTATTTACGAAAATATAAATAGAATATTGTCAACGTTGAGATGTAACTAAGTAATATATATAAAACCATACAATCTATACGATACATTACGATAATAATATTAGATGAAATCATCAGATTGTAAATTTTATGTAAAAGAAAATAAAACTAACTATAATTCAATCTCCGGTAAAACAACAAACTTCTTATATCAAAAAGCATACGCTAGGAACATGTTTTATGAGACAACTGATTCCTTTCTACTACTAGATTAATACTATGCATTTATTAATGCGTAGTACATAATGTAGTAGTTATGTCGACATCGATAAAGTAATGTTGATATTGGTAAAGTAAAAACATGAAGATTATTTTAGAAAATTTTATACATGTACATAATAATATATTAGTAAACCTAAGCTCACTAATATTCGTAAAAATAGTTGTCTATAGTTACCAATTACCAGTGAACTTCTCCAAAGTATAATGTATACATATATATAATGTTCTGTCTGTTGCTATAAACTGCGTTGTGTAGTTTAAAAGATAAAGCAGAAGCGACTTCATTTTTACTATGTCAAGATTATATTAATTTTTTTTCATATTGTTAAACAAAATTATATAATATATATATAACGAACCAACCTATTTACCTCTTCCATATAAAAAGGCAGGTCGTTAACTTTTATTATTTGCATTCTGACCACGCGGGCAACCCCGATGCTGCGATAAGTGGCGTTATTTTCATAAAATTATTTTAAAAGTCATAAAACGTGCTTTCCACAATAGGTATCGAAAGCAGACCGCAATAAATTTTGTGGTGTTCACCTCTCACTTTCCCTGCTCTTGACTTTCATATAATTTTATGATGTATCGCCGGTCGTTCTGGCCCTTCACAACGTTTATCGTATTTGACGGCTAACCGTTTTTTATCATCAAACTGCAAATTTTGGTTTAAAGTACACAATACGATATGAAATGTATTGTAAATAAGGATAGTGCAGCCTGTTTGCGAATATACTACCCAGGAACCATTTTGTCCGATAAGCAAACACAAAGCAAAAGGAACGAATGGTAGTCCCTTTGATAGATGTAAATGAAATCATTGGCATTAAATAATATTTGTAAAATGTTTATGTTATTCTTTAACATGTCGTATGAAAGCGAGTAATTGAAAATCAATGAGGCGATTGGTGCCGCTCGCGCGTGTATTTTATTTTAGGAAAATTTTGCAACGCTGAACGGTGGCAATTCTTGTCGCTAAACATGATTTATACCAGACAACATTTCAACGGCGCAGATAAATCCTATTATAAGTGAAATACTCAGTGTAATAGAACGCCAAAAATTGAAAATATATTACTTGTGGGGAAATAGCGTCGATCGGCGCCCACACTTGCACAGAGTACCCTGTGAAAACAGAGATAGTAGAGATTTAAATAAGAGCACCAACTTAATCCGTTGGTTATCCGTTACAATATTGATTGAATTTGAATGTTTCAGTATAGCTGTCATTACTATTATGTCATATTATTCCGAAGATTTTAAGATTTTAGTTTGATTATATTGATATTAAATTAAAATACTTCAACAGTATTTAACCTTTTCTATTAGGTATTAAATAAAATATATTATAGTATAGTTATTTTAACATGTAATTAAATTTATAAAAGAACTATATTTAGTTTATTTCCCGGACAAAACTGGTTACAATATACTACATTATATTTCCCAAATACTAAAACAATATTTATATATGATAGTCAAAATGATTTACGAAAGAGAATTCCATAACGGCACATAAATATTATGCGACCAAACAACTGAAAGCCTTGAAACTTCGCAATTAATAAAGTGTTCATTTATTAATACATATTTATTACGTATTTTGTTACAAGGTAGCCACAGAAAATTAAGTAGTGTTCTCTTCTATTTTTACATAAATATCTTCTTTCTTCACTCACATTAGTATATTGATGTAAAGCATAACTTTTAGTAAAGATTTTTGATTTAGAGTTTTTAATTAAGCAGTGTATATACTTCAAAATTTGTTTCATACTAAATAAAATAAACATATTTATTCACCATTTATTTTATTCTCTGTATTTCACTCCTAAACACTGCAGAGTTTGAGTTCTCTACTTAGAGTTTCGAAACTAACGGAACAAAAGTTAGTTGTCCTCCTAACTTTATAAATGCCATATCTGTGAGAATATCCAAATTGAAAAAGTAAAGCATAATTATATTATACGTATATGTATCTTATCTTTTTACATTTACTTAATAAATAAATAGACAAATTAAATATAATATTGTGTAATACTAGTTGTGCCCCCGGTTTCATCCGCGTGAAATTTATAGCCTATATGTTATTCTGATGTATAAACTATATTACTGTAAAGTTGCTAACGAAACGGGTTTTAATAAATCCGTTCATTAGTTTTTGTGTGAAAGAGTAACAAACAGCCATCCATACTCACAAACTTTCGCGTTTATAATATTAATAATAATAATATATAATATACCTATACATAAAACTATGTACATAAATAACTTTTTAAATCTTCATTAGCCATATTTTCATGCGCCAGTTCGCTGCTTAACCTATACCAATGAGTAATGTGATCACCCCCAACGAGGGTTAGGGCGCATCAGTTTCAAAAATTGAGTGAAATCACATGTACGCAATTGATAGGGCAAATGTAACTGTGGCCGCAACGCACTCAGCCGTAGAGAGAACAACCGAACCATTCATATTTGTTGCAACCGCCAATTTATATCTATTCTGTTACAAATGGTTGTTTGCGATTGGACGACTATTGGAAACAAATGACGCGCCAGCTTGCGTACCCATACCCACAGTATTCCTATGCCGTTTAAAGATGTACTTACATTTATTTATTGGAAATGTTACCATTATAATATTATTGAATACCAATAATTGTTTACTTCGTGTTGTGTTACTCAAACTTTATATAGAACTCCCTAAATAATTAACGTACCAGGATTCAATTCCTTATTTTTCCTCACTGGAAGAGGGTTAATGTAATTAATTAATTAAACTAGAATCGTATTTTATTTTAAACATTTCAAGTGTCCTTCTAACATTACAACTCTTAAGAAAATAAAAAGGATTTGTTTATATAAAAAGAAACTCAGCAAAATTATAATATTTAAAACATGTCACATAAGTAGATACATAATAGATATATCATTTTACAGTCGACTTTAAATTTTATTTCGGTTATATGAATACCTATTTTCGTGGAATGGAAATGGTCGTTTTCCCTATAAGGGTCACGAATCCCCAGTGAAACAAATTTATTTTCCGATAGTACGAATAACCTCTACTTAAAATCATAAAGTGCGTTATCAAAGGATAGTCGTAAAATTATTCATTATGACTGGAACTAGTAACTTTATTGACAATTATATATCTAACTTAGTAAACCCAGATGGGGATCTGGGATTACAGTTACTTTTATTAACATATATATATATTTAATTTATTGTTATTATTTGTCGAAATTATAGAAATTAAATTTATTGTCACGAATTTATTTTTATTATACTACTAGTTGTATACCATTGTAGTACACGTATGTTTATTTAGAATTAACTGACCCACGCAACTTGGTCTGTGTCTTATCTTCCTCATATTTAGATCATT